TTTTGACAGGCATCGAAATCTAGATTTCAGCACTCCAAAGCAGCGTTCTACACAGTTTCTTGCTTTCCGGTGATGTCTGTTGTAATTATGTTCAGAATCTGAGAGATTGTTTCCCGGAATAGGAGTCATTAAATAAGGTAATTGAGGATATCCACTGTCACCTAAACATGTGAAAAGGAAAATTATGCTACATAAATAATATACATATGTATGTATACAAATTGAGTAAAATATACCTAAAAGCCAAAAATTTCGTTCTCCATTGGAGTACATATTGTCAAGAAAAACCTTCAAAGCACTTGCTCTCCAAACTGATGCATCGTGAGCAGTTCCGCCGAAATGAGCATCACAGTCAAGTATTCTTAAATCCATGTCACATACCTTCAAGTGATGAAATAATGTATGTACATACAATGTTACGTATATGTATATACATTTGTAAATATGTAAATGAATAGAACATACCACTTGCACATTTATTGAGTGTCCTCCTTTTCGGCAAACATATACATGTTCAATGTCTTTGGATGGAGTCTTTAATTTAATATGCGATCCGTCAATGGCTCCTATGACCCCAGGGAATCTGAACTCTTGATAAAATCTAAAATAAAGAATCATAAATTTATCTTAAGTAATATTACTTTTAATTTAGTATAAGTACTTTTCCTTTACAGCCTGTTTTTCTTCAACTGTTGATGGAAACTTAATGTATGTAGTTAACAAGTATTTGTCCATGATACTGGCAAATTCTCTAATGTATCTACTGACGCTGCTTTGGGATATATTAAGTAAGAAGTCTTGTCCCACCGAACGTTGATAGCTTCCTGAAAAAGTATGAATTCAATTAATACAACATTGAATATGTATATATGTACATACCTTGAGCGAAAAATTCGCAATGCTACAAGGAACCTTAAAACTTTCGACAATCCACAACTTGATGTCCTTTGCAACATAAAGGGGCGGATTTCATTAAAAACATTTCTACATATTTCTTTTGGAAGTCGAAAAATTTCAGTGAACCGTTCCTCTGAAATACAGAAGGGATCCGTGGATTCCCGCAACAATTTTCTTTTGCTTCGCAAACGGTTCCTTAAAGCTCGCTGAGAGTTCACTGAGATACGAAACAAATATCTTCGCAACTCACTCATCTTGACCACGTATTTATTATCACAACACTCTTTCTTAATATTATAATGAAATAGACCGAGATTGCGGCTTTTAATTTCTGATTTAGAGCAAATTATATCAAAATTACAAATTTTAACTAAATTCCCCTGGGCCATAAAGGCTGCGTTTCTTTATACATTCCGGATAATCCCATTTCACAGCCGGAACAAACAGAATACGTTTGAAATATATGTTAACATATCATCAGGAACATTCTAAAGAATAAGTAAACAAAAAAGTTTATTCCAAACGTTCAGAATGAATAAAGAAATGCAGGCAAAGTAAACAAAATTTGACATTTCTCTTCAACTACACCAGCGACACCTGCGGCGGATAAAAGTATTACAATTTTCCTTGGAGATTTTAATAGATGAACCAACCGGAATCGCATTTAAGAAAAATCTCTTAAAGTTCGGATAATTTTTAGCGTTTGGATTTTTGGAGATTTGTAGAGTTTTAGCGATAGCGAAAGCTGGAATCCGGCTGCAGAGATATGCAGCATAGAAAAATCAATTTGCATGGGAGTTGCCACACCACCTTTTCCAATAACTTTCATTTTTCTCCATGAGTATGGTATTAGTTTCACATACATATATACATATGTATTTCCATACCAAGCTTGAGTGCTTTACCCCAAAAGTTTGAAGAGATATGCAATATGAAACTTTTAGTCAGTATGGGAGGTGCTACGCCTCTTTTCCAAAAACGTCAATTTTTCTCCGTTAATATGAACAAGATTTCACACAGTGTTGGCAAACTGTTAATCTGATTAACAATTAAAAATTAACGATTGAAATGTTAATCGCGTTTGATGATTAAAATTAATTAGTCGTAATCAACTGTACGATTAATGATAACATTTGTTAATCGTTAATCGCTGGCTGCGATTACGTTTGATTAATTTAAAACATTAATCGTTAATCCAATTAAAAATAAAATCTGATTAATTTGTCTAGTTTGTCCGAGTTTGAAATCAAGCACCAGTTATAATAATTATTTTGTGTTTTACGCTTATATAATTATTTTTATTAGTAATACATAAACTGGGAACCTTTACTAACCTAGTTTGTAAAACTTTTGTTGGTATATATGTTAATGAAAATGCACACCAAATTGCTTAAATTGATGAGGAAGCCCGACATAGCGATACCGGATTAACTTGCTTTGTGTGCACAGGGAAATTCCAGCATAACTTAATTAATCACCAAACCTACTTGATCAAATTAAAAGTTAACGATTAAAAATTAATTTTTTAATCGCGGTTACGATTAACTGTTTAGTCAGATTAAAATTAATCATGATTAACTGTGATCAGATTGAATGTAATCGAATTAACTAACTGATTAAAACATCAATCGATTAATGCCATCATTGATTTCACATACATATCGCTATACCACGTTTCAGTTCTCTCCCACAAATACTTCCAGAGATATGTATGTAATATGAAAATTCCAATTTGTATGGGAGGGGCCTTGAGTTATCGGACTTACTTTCAATCTAAGACCATCCTTCCGAAATCCGTAGTAATAGTACTAAATTTCGTTCTGATCGGAAAACCGGTTAAGGAAGTAGCCTATTTTTCAATCCAGTAGCTCGTTTCTGTAACAATTCTCTACCGAGGCGAATTGAGATATGAATTCGCCGCCCTATTCTCTACAGCTAATGAGTAGTAGAGAATGACGTATATTCTCTACCAGTAGAGAAATAATCGGTAGAGAAGAGTTACAGAAACAAGCTACTGGTCCTAAACCATCTTTGAACAAAATTTCATTTTCAAACAGGTGACAATTCTTAAAAAATTAGCCTATTTTCCAGTCTAGGTCATAAGCTATCTGTGTGCAAACTTTCATGCAAATCAGTTCAGTCATTTACGCGTATTAATTTAATTAAACTTTCCTAATATGTGATAAGTCTTAAAATAGTAGCCAACAACATAGGTCATCGACTATCTCTGTGCGAAATGTCAAGCAAATCTGTTCAGTCGTTTCCGCGCATTAATTAATTAAATTAAAAATTTCTAACAGATGGCAACTCTTAAAAAAGTAGCCTACTTTCTAACGTAGGTCATAAGCTATCCGTGATGATTTTCCAAACACCACGTACACAAGCCGCATAGCACTCTCAACAAAATATTTAGCAAAACAAAAGACAAGATCAGCAAAGAACAACAGCATGATGTAGTTTATCAAATCAATTGCAATGGCAAAGCTGGCNGTCTTAAAATAGTAGCCAACAACATAGGTCATCAACTATCTCTGTGCGAAATGTCAAGCAAATCTGTTCAGTCGTTTCCGCGCATTAATTAATTAAATTAAAAATTTCTAACAGATGGCAACTCTTAAAAAAGTAGCCTACTTTCTAACGTAGGTCATAAGCTATCCGTGATGATTTTCCAAACACCACGTACACAAGCCGCATAGCACTCTCAACAAAATATTTAGCAAAACAAAAGACAAGATCAGCAAAGAACAACAGCATGATGTAGTTTATCAAATCAATTGCAATGGCAAAGCTGGCGAGCCTTGCAATAAATTATACATAGGCACAACAAAGCGCTCCCTTGGAGTCAGAATAAGCGAACATAAAGCAGACGTAAGAAACAAAAAATTAACTACAGCGCTAGCCCAACACTTGACAAACAGCGGTAATTCGGCTGATTTCAACAACAACAAAATATTAAACATAGAGAAACGAGTGCGAACGAGACTAACATTAGCAGGCCTGCGCATACAAGAACAAATACAAGACGCAATGAATTTCAAAGAAGATGCCGATAGTATAAATTGCGCATACAGGACGGCAGTAAGGTGCAATAGAAAAACAGATGGACGATGATGCAGAAGTGAATGTGGTGAAGCGATTATTGTGATGTTTTGTTTATTTTGTTCTTATTAATTTAAATGTAAGTGTTAACTATGGGAGTGCAATGGGGTATAGTCATTGCGCTTACAGTTGCACGGCTATACTCAATCCCGACTCTTGCGTCCTCGTTCGCGCACTCTGGGCAACGTGAGCAACCCGTGTGCGAGATGCGGTAACCAATCCGATTGGGGCCTTGGGTCACGGCAGAAAGAGAGGGAGCTTCGGTGGGGCCACTCTGACTTATACGGTTTAAGGGCTCACTGAAGTCTGCAGCGTCTGTTCACCAGTAGGTGCGGCTGCAAGCGGGTGTCTGCTTGGAGCAAGCGGCTCGCTATATAAACGTGTATTTGGTTGCGAAACCACCCCCGTCCCAGCAATGGGTTGTGCGCTGGGCTTGGGACCCGCCACGTAAAAACCACTTCCAGTGAAGAAGCAAGGCAAAGCCTCGGATGAGACCCCCCCTTATGATGACGACCACGGCAAATGTTTAAAGGACTACGATTTGAGGGCATGCACCTGGAATGTCCGGACCCTTAATGGGGAAGGTGCCTCTGCCCGGCTGGTTGATGTCCTCGTAAGGACAAAAGCTGACATCACCGCCATCCAAGAAATGCGTTGGACGGGGCAAGGCAAAGAATGTCTGGGGCCTTGCGACGTCTACTACAGCTGCCATGTAAAGGAGCGCAAATTCGGAGTTGGATTTGTGGTGGGAGAGAGACTCCGTCGCCGAGTACTGTCGTTCACCCCGGTGGACGAGCGTCTAGCCACAATCCGCATCAAAGCGAGATTCTTCAACATCTCGCTCATCTGCGCCCATGCCCCGACGGAAGAGAAGGATGAGGCATCCAAGGATCTCTTCTATGAGCGCTTGGAGCGCACGTACGAGCGCTGCCCCCGTCATGATATCAAAATCGTGCTTGGCGACTTCAATGCCAGGGTGGGCAAAGAAGGGATCTTTGGAACCACCGTCGGAAAATTCAGCCTCCACGACGAAACGTCCGACAACGGATTGAGGCTGATCGACTTCGCCGGGGCCCGAAACATGGTAGTATGCAGTACTAGGTTCAAGCATAAAAAGATCCATCAAGCTACCTGGCTGTCTCCGGATCGAAAAACGAGAAACCAAATCGATCATGTTGTGATAGACGGAAGGCACGCTTCCAGTGTTTTAGACGTACGCACACTCCGAGGCCCAAACATCGACTCGGACCACTATCTTGTTGCAGCCAAGATACGCACCCGCCTCTGTGCAGCAAAAAATGTGCGCCCAAATATGCAAGGAAAGCTGAACGTCGAAAAGCTGCAATCACAACAGACAGCCAGCGCTTTCGCTACTCGACTCTCACACCTGCTCTCAGAGAGCACTCTTCAACAAACCGACATATGCGAGCAGTGGAACCACATTTCCCGCTCATTAAGTACCGCCGCCGAAGAAGTAGTCGGATTTCAGCGAGCCCGAAAGAACAACTGGTACGATGAGGAGTGTCAGGAAGCTGCAGAGAAAAAAGATGCCGCCTACAGGGCCACGCTGCGATCGGGCGCAACGCGCGCTATGTGGGACCGCTATAGGGATCTGAAGAGGGAAGCGAGACGTATTTGCCGCAACAAGAAGAGAGAGGCAGAAATACGTGAGTGCGAAGAGCTTGAAATGCTGGCCGACAGGAGGAATGCCCGAAAATTTTACCAGAGAGTTAGGCGACTTACGGAAGGTTTAAAGACCGGGGCGCACTCCTGTAAGAACAATAATGGCGACCTAGTAACTGATGTCCAGAGCGTACTTAAATTATGGAGGGAACACTTTTCCGCCCTACTAAATGGTAGCAGCACAGAAAGTTGTGGAGAAGAAGAACCCGAGCCCGCAGTCGATGATGACGGAGTCGACGTTCCACCGCCTGACTATGACGAGGTACGTATAGCAATAACGCGGCTGAAAAACAACAAAGCCGCTGGAGCTGACAGCCTGCCAGCTGAGCTATTCAAGTACGGCGGCGAGGAGTTGATAAGGTGCATGCATCAACTCTTGTGCAGAATATGGTCAGATGAACGCATGCCCGACGACTGGAATTTAAGTGTGCTCTGCCCAATCCACAAGAAAGGTGACCCCGCCATTCGCGCCAACTACCGCGGGATCAGCCTTCTAAGCATAGGTTACAAGGTCTTATCGAGCGTATTGTGTGAAAGACTGAAGCCCACCGTCAATGAACTGATTGGGCCTTATCAGTGTGGCTTTAGACCT